GGGGGGGGGGGGGGGGGTGTGGTTTAATTTTGCTCCTCTATGCTAACGCCTGCAGTGTTTAGCATTTGTTTTGGCCCGTTGTAACACGGTACGGACGGAGACAGGCCTGTGAATGACATCAGTGGATTCTGCCTGGATGTGGATGGTGGGAGGACAGCCGGGTTGTTGTGGCAGGTCTTTATTCTCAGACCCCTCCTGTCCCATTCAGGGCTGACTTGGGCTCCTGGTGCTAACTGGCTGTTAATTGCCTGCCTATACACAGGCCTTTCTCCACATGCAGAAACTGGCCCCTTCAAGGGAAACTAGCCTAATGAGATTATCTATCAGAGCATGGGCCTGTCTAGACACCCAATACACAACCCCCCCACCACCAACCACCACAACCAGCAGCAGGCTTCAGAGGACGCCCCCCAGGTAAAAGTTACCTGCAGAAAGAGAGCATGTTGTCATTACACCATTATGGGTTTACACAGAGTTTCCCACCCACTGCATCATGCCTCTGATGGAGAAAGCTGACACTGCAGAAAAGTGTAAAAGTGAGAATTTATTTAAACTTATAAAAAGTATTTATGACTTATTTTTAATCTATTTGAGATCCATGTGAATGAAGCTCTGTATTAAGGGTTGGTATGAAGGTTCTACTTTAATAAAACTCTGCTATTTTTCACCAGAATGCAACAGACAAACACACAGGAGGATCTCATTTAAACGTTCCTCTCACTGTATTTCTGTCAGCTGTGTCAGATAGTGTGACAGTGAGTATTTAACACATTGCACAAACACACTAAATGCCATTTTGCTGTGTGGTTGTGTGTGTGTGAATGATATTTACACAGATTCTGGTGCCGCTGCGAGTCCTGATCTGCAGCAGGGAAGTGCGTCCATATTTGTTTTAAAGTCTCTTAGCAGTTAATAAAGATGCGTTTCCTCCGTCCCCCTTCCTGTGGGGACGGTATCAAGGCTCTGTTAAGTCTCTTTGATTTCCAGCACCTTCCAATCACAGCGGGGCACTGACTCATCATTGTGCCACTTCAAAGCCTGGGAATGGCTCTCTTGACCCCACCCACCTATTGGCTCTCCTTAAAAGTCATGGTCACCTCCTTCTGAAGGACTCAACAGCTCTGAATTATCTCCTGCAACAACACTGACTAACCTCCTGACTCCCTGAGCTGCTGGATTTCTTGGTTGTTGGTTTTTCTTTACACACAAGGAGCTGAAGAAACACTTGGATTTCACGGACACTTGGATTGATTATTGGCCTTCGGTGCATGAACTTCTTCAAGCTTTTACTGTGCTACAGCTGAACCTGAAGCATGCAGTCCATCAGAGGTGAGTGTTGGCTTTCTTTCACTGGATTCACTCTTTCACCACTCTCCCTACCGGTATCCGTCTTTGTCCGAGAGAGACTCCCCTCTCTCGATCATGAAGCAAGGCTGTGATGAATTTTATTTACTTCCAGACTTGAAGCCCAACTTCAGCGGCCCTCCTCCCTCCTCCATGGCTGCCGGCCCCGATGCCTATCACCAGGGCAACATCAGGATGACTCTGGAGGACCCTGAACTCTGGAAGACCTTCCATGAAATAGGGACAGAGATGATCATTACTAAACCGGGCAGGTAAGACGACAGAGAAAATGCCATTTAATGCCAAATGTTTCCATCCTCTGTTGCTGTTTTGCTGATTTTTCTCGCACGCTGTGTTCCAGGAGGATGTTCCCACACTGTAAAATTAACCTCTCTGGCCTGATTCCATGTGCCAAGTACATCTTACTGGTGGACATGGTCCCTGAGGATGGATTCAGGTATAAGGTAAGGCAGCACTTATTTTTCTCATCTTATTATCAGCCTGTAAAAAGCAGCCTTGACTCACCACAGCCATGGCTTTGGCAGGAGGTATCCCCTCAGTGGTTACCAGTATCCCCAGACAAGACACCCCCACCCCCCCTTCTTCTGACATTGTACATCAAAGGGTGCTATCTCTTCCTGTTTTTCTATCCCCTGCTGGGAGCCCACTGTACTACCCCCTATCTCTGTGGGTGGTACAGCCAGTAGTCACTCTCTCCGCTCTCTATCGTATCGCTCTCACACTGCGGGGAGGGAAGAAGGTGAAGCTCCTTCTGTGAATCCCCTCCCTCAATCACTGACTGACAATCTGTCTCCTTCCTACAGTGGAATAAAGACAAATGGGAGGTGGCAGGAAAAGCGGAGCCCCAGCCTCCCTGCAGGACCTACCTCCACCCCGACTCTCCGGCCCCGGGGAGCCACTGGATAAAGCAGTCCGTCTCCTTCCTCAAGCTCAAGCTCACCAACAATACACTCGACCAGCACGGCCATGTAAGTAAGAGCCCTCGAAGTGGAGCGCTTCACAACAATTCCAAATGATATCCACACTACTTTTTCAAAAGGACGGTGGATAATTGAAGTCCTTGGTGGACAAACTGGTAACACTCGTAGAAGTGGATACTTGTAAAGTGCTTTAAAACTGAATGAATCACCCTCTCCCTATCTGCAGATCATTTTGCACTCCATGCATCGCTACCACCCGCGCTTCCACATCGTCCAGGCTGATGACCTCTTCAGCGTCCGCTGGAGTGTTTTCCAGACCTTCACCTTCCCCGAGACCTCCTTCACAGCAGTCACGGCCTACCAGAACACCAAGGTCAGTTTCTTATCCCTGCAAACTGACCCAGAGGACGTCTGATCACTCATTATTGAGATTTTAACTGATTTCATTTCGTAACCAACAGATTACAAAGCTGAAGATCGATCACAACCCGTTTGCAAAAGGTTTCCGGGATGAAGGCACCAATAAAAAGAGGTGGGTCACACGAAGTTACACACAGTTTGGTTGCTTTACTTGAAATTCTGCAGATTTCCATAAAGATCCCCTCCAGACATTTATTAAGATACATACAAATAGACTGATTGGAACAGTAATTTGTGTTTTATGGTTTTTTCTGCAAACAAACTTATAATTTCCACATTAAACCCTTAAACAGCATCTACAGCACATCTACAGTTGCAGACTGGACCAGGGTTGACTGTGATGTCACAAATCATGCTTGTAGGCCCCGCCCCTTAAGTATCAGATTTTCAATGAACTCAGAGAACAGATGAATGTGAAAACATCCTTCTAGAGTCCAACTGAACAGACATCGTTCACACATCACACTGTAGGAACAAGAAGGAAAGGTTATTTTTGATTGAGGGGGGGCTTTAAGTGATGTATGTATGCAATGTTGTTTTAATGAAGCTGATGTTCTTCTGTAGACGTGCCAACAAGAGCCCAGCCTGCCTTGAGAAACGAGCCAGGATGTCGGACATCTTAAACAGGGACTCTGAGGAGGACAGCCCACCAGGTACCGTATTCAGACTCTCTCCCCACTGATGGTGTTTTATCTGTCGTGTCCTTTGCTCCTGAAGTTAACCTGATGATCTGCGTTCTCTCAGATTTCTGCCCGTCATCCTACGAGGGTTACGACGGAGAGGAAGCCGACCTGCCCAAAAGGAAAGAGGATGAGGCAGTTAAAGAGGAGCGTTACTCCCCGTGGGCTGCAGAGAAGGAGCACAGCGTGAGGACGGACTCCCCCGCTGGGGCAGACCCCAGAGACATGTACAACACAGAGCAGCTGGTTCCTGCTCCAGCCTCCTACCAGCCGTACAGGTGAATGACGATAAAGTTATGTAGCAAATACAAGCTCAGTGTTGTGGCGATGAACAGAACTCTGACCGCCTTTCTTTTCCTCTTCAGGTTCCACGAGTACGGAAAGTCCCCCTCGCCGTCCTCCAGCATCGGCAGCAGCAACAGCGGGTCCGGACGCAGCAGCTTTGAGTCCAGAGTCCCCGATGTCGCCACCGTGCCCGACCACGACTCTTCAAAGCCGCGCACACACGAGATCGGCCCTTCCCCTTGCGGCCCCCAGCACCTCCCCGCCCCCCAGGACTACACCGGGGTCCTCAACATGACCATGGCCCAGGCCGGCAAGACCGGGGGGGTGATCGGCCACCACATCTACAGCCCATATGGCGCCGAGCAGCCCCTGGGTCAGTGGGGCGGCCCCGGTCCCGCCCAGTACCCCCCGCCTCACCACCTGACCGCTGACTACACCACGCAAGCTGTGCACCACGGCTATCACCATGGCAACGTGGCTGAGTGGAGCCAGTACCCGCTGTTTTCTTATTCCTGCTGGTGAGCGGATCTTCAGCGTTAACTGACTGAGAGTGACTGCATGGAGGCTGCGGGCCGACCCGCCGCTCACAGCTCTGAGGATGCATGCCCAGACGAGGCTGAGGGCCACAGGACCGCCACAACACAACAACAACAACAAAGACTGAAAGATGGCGAGGAGGAGCCGCCTGTCGCTGCCTTCCGCTCAGAACCGGCAGGGTTCAGGCTCCAGTTGTAGGAGACTGAAAGTGTGCTGCTCCATGATTGTTTTACTGTTGAATTGTCTATTTATTTTGTATTTCATCTCATCTCCAAGTGAAAATATTATTTTTGTATAAGAAAAAGAGAGAGAGAGTAAAAACGTAAGTGTGCAATTAATGTCTGTCTTCAAATTGTGATGTGATCTGAAAATAAAATCCTAAAAGTGACGTGATCCAATGTCTGGTTTGTGTAAATATTCTTAATCTTTTCTACCCATTAATTAAACAACTAATGTAATTTTGGATTATTCACCTTTAATACGGCAAGAAAACATCTCAAAACTTATTTTATTATCTTGTTTATGATTAATTTCACCTGTTTTTAACATTATTGTTCTTATTTCTCACACCTGTTTTCATATTTTTTATATCTTAAGATTGTTTCTAGCCTTATTAACTAGATTCTTTACTAATATTATTGTTTTTATTTCTTTTTTATCTCTTATTATCGCTCCTTATGTCCCCTATTTTTTAATACCTGTGTCATTGATGTTTATTATAATATTATATTATATAATAACCAAATGTATCTAAACATAGCTGGAAGGTGTAGATGTATTTCATCCTGCATCCTGCAGGTTCTGCATACAGGAAGTGTATTGGACCAATCAGTGGATTGTAAAAGTGTTTGCAGGCGCACATCTGCATGCCGGCCAGCTCCGACAAGCAGCACATCCTTTGGTGCTGTTTGTTTGTATTTGCTCTTTGTTGATCTAATGAGGAGCACTCTGTAGTCTCGACAGGCCCAGCATGCATTAAAGACCTTGTATTACTGTGACTCCGGCTCACCTGCTGAGGTTTACCCACCGGCATCATAAAGCATCACACGACTCTCGTTCTCCATCTCAATGAGCCTTAAAAAGCTTGAAAATGGGGGGCTGTTGGCTCCTTTTCACGACTGAACAACATAGGCTGGGCCCATTGCCTCCACCCTGGGTGGATGTGAGCTGCTAATGACTGCTGTAAAGTCCATGGGGGAGGGGAGGGGGGGACCATCCTGCAGGAACAGTTGTGGCGGTGTGAGGATTTGATTCAGTGAGATTCATTATCTGGGAGGCTTCCTGAAGCAGCATGTCCAACCTCAGACTTCCCCAGCTGCACACTGTTCATTTACTCACTTTAATGAGGATAAAAAAAGAGAGAGATCTTTACAGGAATCTGCACCGCTGGGCGAGAAGGTCAGTGTGATGAAATTCAAATTCTGAGATGAGATTTTATCTCCCAGAAGCCAGCTTTTTCATTAAAGCCAGTAAAGATAAAATCATATATTTGCCACAGGATATTGCTTGGGACACCATGCATGATAATACATGAGAAGGATTTATCCTCACTTCCTTCAGAGATGTAATCTGTATTTATAGACATACACGCAATAGTTCACAATAGGAAACAGTGATGAGGCCACTGATGTTCCAGGAATATTTAACACATTGTAACTGGCCCTATTGTAATGTCTGAATGGATGCACTGGAAACATACCTCACATTTAAATACCTGTTAACAAATAAAGTGAGAAAAGTCCATTTAAGCTCCTTTTCCACCAAATTATTTCTGGTTCTTGAACCAGTTCTGTTGGAACTGTGGTGCTATCCAATGAACCAGCCCTCGTTTCAGCAGTTCTGAGTGGAACCATAGTAATCGAACACAAACTGAGGGCTACGCACAGCGACCCATAGACACGCCCACTTTGGTTCCCGAGGAAAACGTTTCTGTTTATTTGGTTCCAGCTGGGAACCAACTTTTTATTTTCAGTCGAAATCCTACGAACATTTGAAAACTAGATGATTGACAGCCAGCTAAATATTTTTGTCTTCAACACAAAAAGGATTTGTTTTTGTCAATCTCATTCTGAAATGAATGTTTTTGTTCTGTATTCATTGTATATTGTATATTTACTGTAAAACAATTAAAAGCTGGTTCCTCTTCACTAGCCTGGTGTGGCTCCACAATTTGACACAAAAAAAAACATGAGGTCTGGATTTTATAGAAGTTTTTTGGATGTATAAAACCTCTTAAAGCCCACTCTAAGCTGCTTACATCGCCTTCACGAATATAAATGTTTAAACTTTTGTCAATATGGACGTGATACACATTGTTAGATCAGTTCAGTTCTCCATAACTCAATCCTTCAGTTCAAACCACTGATATGTTATTCAATAGAAAGTAGAGAGAGAGAGATACGAGTACAAGAAACGACTCCAATCCTGTGTGTCATCAAGGTTCAGTTGTGCCTCTCTTCCTAAGAGCTGGTTAATCAAA